TCCTTTCCCTTGACTGAGTTGTGAGCCGCCCTGAGTCCCCTTCAGGGAAAAGGGCGGCATATAAATGAAATAAATCCTAATCCTAATTCCAATTATTAAAATATGTGGAGATAAACATCTTATATTTCTTTTTATTTAAAAATTATCAGTTTAATGGATTTGGGGTATGTAAATAAAATTTGCTGTAACATAGAATATATATCTGAAAATGATACAGTTATGATGTACCCAAGAAATAATGGGTTATCATTTACTATTTTCATTTCTTGCTTCTAAGCTTCCCAAAAGTATATGGTTTACTCTTATCAACAACTGAAAGGCTACTTGGCGAGTTCTGTATGGATTTTTTCTAATTTTAGCATTCAGGGAACTCCCTTTCAATTAGGACCATGTTAAAGGGAGATTATAGGAATTGTAAGGCAACAGATCTGGAGATGAGATAACCTAAAAGCTGAGTAATGTGACTTGCTTTTACATTCTGAATTTAATTTCAGCAGTTACCATAGTCAGGCAAAAATAAAAATTGATGAAAGTTTTATCTGCTTCAGGTATACCATGCACATATCTTCTAGATCCCCTTAAGTAACACACTCATTTTGCAGTAAATTCCCCTGCAAGCCAAGGTGAGAATGCATTTCTATAACTGCTTGTTCAGATGTAGACCTACTGAAGTAAAGCTTATGAAAGTGATGGCAAAGTGATGTTTTCATGCTTTCACAACAATATTGATGTGATTGATATTTTTTTTCTTTTCTCCTTTTCTAGCATCAAACTTTTGGCTGTGCAGGAGTTGATTGATAGAGATGCACTTGAGAAGGTATCTTTTACTCTTTATATAGAGTAGCACAAACTCTTCTGTTAGTATTTCTGTTTCTATTTACTGCTACTAATGTCTTATAAGCATATACTTATATTTCAGATTACATAATGTGAATGTGTACACCCAGTTACCCAAAGACTATTTTCTTTGTTGCATTCACAATCTAATTAGATGGAGATTTGAAGTGAGGAGAGGACTACATTTCGCCATTCAGTGGCACATTTGGAACTTCCTTCCTCTCCAAAGCCAAACCATAATAAAAACAAAATTAATTTCATTTTAATTGCATATTCATTTTAATAGCATTAAACATAATTTCTTTCCATTCTTCATTTCATAATTTCTTTTTAATAGCACATTAAAATAACAATTTGGAATAGCTTTTGGAGGTTTCTGAAGGGGATCGGTTGCATTAAAATTGTGACATATATTGTCCTCAATTTATGCTGATTTGTTTAATTATCGTTCAAAGTTATGAAAAAAGTGACTTATGACTAGTTGTTATAGTTGTAAGCACTTATAGCCGTCACACGATCCTGAAGTCATGTGATCAGAATCCAGGCACTTGGGAATTGGTATGTATTTATGAAGGTTGCAGCATTCTGCAATCACATGATCACCATTTAAGATTTTCTTAGGGAGCTTCTGATACGCAGAGTCAATGAGGAAGAATAGGTTTGCTTAATGACCATGGCAAAAGAACGTGTAAAACCAGACCCAGCTCACTTGGTAACCACATTACTTTAATGATGGTCCCAATTGTGGTCATAGATTGGGAACTACTTGTATGCAGGAAACCCACATCCAAAGATGAACTTTAAAGCAATTTGAAATATGACCCAGGCAAAAGTGCAGAAAAAACACTAGATGGAGGTTAAAAATGCATGGAAAATTGTTGTTTTTAATTCTTTGACTTTTCTAATAGCCCCTTGGTTTTTCTGCCTTGTGAAAAACAAGGGCATTAAACCAAACCAAGCCATCTTGTCGGGCCTTCTTATGGGAGGGTAGAAAAATGTAATTCTTTCATTTTGTTGCTTTGCTTTTTCAGTATACCTTTTCTTCCATATCTGGCACTAAATAGATAGATTGAGTTGAATATTTAAAGTCTTGAGAGCAAATGCATTGACAGTGATTCCTTCCCAATCCAGTCAACTTCCCAATACGTATCAGCAGGATCAACATTATATCATGATTAAACTTATTTTTATTTTTGTTAATTCAGTATTAGTCTCACTGTCCAGCAGCTGCTCATGAGATGGCTGTTAAGGAAAAAAGAATGCTCCTGAATTACAAATAGAATCCCTGCTTTGGCTTGGCTTAAACTGCAAAGGTGGCAGTATTGCAGTGCTCATGACAGATATTATTAACATCTATAAAATGGGCATAACCTATGCATGCAGAAATAAAGAGGAAAAAGGAACTGATTCATAATCTCTGACTTTATTGTCATAGTAACTAGATTTCTTTGTACTTTTCAGTTAAGCATTATTCCATACAGGAAGGAAGATTTGTGACATTCTTGGAAATTCAACTCCACCTCTGGTTTCAATGCATTTGTTTTAAAAGAGTAATAATTTGCTTTATCAGAATTAAATTTGCATGGTATTCAAAGCAGACTGAGACTGTGTTTTCCTATGCAATATTTGGTCTTTATTACTTGTACGATTTAGTTGGTTGTTGTTTTTTATTCAATCTTCAAAATCCATTCACAGCTGCTGACAACTAAAAAGCATTGTTTCCTGATCTTAGAAGTTGAGAAAAATACATCTCTAGTATTATAAACCTATTTGAATAATGCACCAATTGTTGTTTTTAAAATAGATGCATACAAACACAAACACAAAACACCTGAAGGCCAGACGAGTAATAATGGATGAAAACTGATCAAGGAAAGTTTCAACCTGGAAATAAGGAGAAATTTTCTGACAGTGAGAGCAATCAACTAACGGAACAGAGGTTGCCTTCAGAAGTTGTGAGAGTTTCATCACTGGAAGCTTTCAAGAAGAGACTGGACTGTCATCTGTCAAAAATGGTGTAGGGCAGGGATGAAATGCTACTGGTTCAAACCGATTTGCCCAAACCGATAGTAAAAAAAAAATGCTACCAGTTCAGGCGAACCGGTAATTCTGGCGATCAGCTGTGCCACCCAGTTTATCATGCAGCACAGTTAATTGTCGCATAGCTGATTGTGCAACAATTCGTTTGCCCAGTAGCATTTTTTACTAGCGATTTTGGGGAACTGATAGTTCCGACGATTAGAGCATGTGCGTGCAAAGCAAACCAGTAGCAGACTTCAGAGCATTTCACCCCTGGTGTAGGGTCTCCTGCTTGGGCAGGGGGTTGGACTAGATAGTTGGACAAGATCTCTTCCAACTCTGTTAATCTAATCTAATCACCTTCCTCTCAAATCGCCTGAAAAGAGGTCTTTTGGCCTTGCATGTTTATACAACCACTACACTTTCAGACTCCCAAGAAATTGTGAAAATGGCTTCCACCAAGAACAAGTTACCTCTTCTGCTTTAAATAACTGCTGTGATCAACCCCAGAATTGTTCTCATCATCAGGTATAAAAGCAGATTTTTCACAGTATTGCTCCCTTCTAAAAAAAATTCTTAAAATTAATGCTTTTGATTGCTTGGTCATATATGGACTGGAGTTTAGTCAGTTTAGTTCACAAATCCTAACCAAAACTGACTAAACTGGAATGCATTGTACTTTTGAAATAGTGGCAATGGCAGAGTGTGATTGCACAGCTATATCTGATGTGCTTGCTAGCCTGAACTAAGTACTTCTGGCAACAAGTGTTAATGTTGTAGTTATATAGAGGTTTCTGCATTTTCTATAAATAGTACCCAGAGTGTTTAGGAGCATCTGTTACTTAAAAAGTAGCATTAAATATTAATCTACTAACCCTGTCATGATCATCTTGAAAAAACTTAGTGCAGGGGTGTCAAACTTGATTTCATTGAGGGCCACATCAGGGTTGTATTCGACCTTGCAGGAGTCGGGGTGTGTGGCCAGTGTGAGCATGGCTAGCTTGACATCACTCATGTCAGGGGCACCAGTGGCAGGGCTGCGGGGAGTCATTGTTTCCAGCAGAGGAATGCAAGACTAGGGAGAACACCAAACTCTTTTCCTCCAGAGGAGCCTCGCTGTCCCCAGATGGCCCCCAGATGGTGACACAGGTTGCCCAGAGCCCTAGGCAGCAGAGGGCAAGTTCTCAGTACAATCTTCAGCTACTGGGCACCAGGACCCCACAGCTCAGCCCATCCCAGCCCCACTTCCTCAAGGGGGTGCCCAGCTGTGTTTACCTCCTCCTCAAGGTTGCTCCTGCTGTTCTTGCTTTCCTTCGCCAGGTTGCTCATAGTGTGTGCAGGAGGGCAAAGTGAATGGGTCAGAGGGAGGCCCACTCCCTCTCCACGCAAGAAGACCTGGCTTTGTAACAAAGCAACCTCGGAAATAGGATGGGAGACCACCAGGAAAGTCAGAAGATGGAGACAAGGCGATAATGGGAGATCCCTTCCACTCATTATAATCCCCTCCCTTCTTCCTTCCTTTTTCCCCTTTTCTTATTTTTCCTTCCCTCTTCATTTTCCTTTCTTCTTCCTTCCCCTGTTTCCTTCTTTTTCCTTCCTTCCTTTTCCCCTCTTTCCTTTTCCTTTTTCCTTCCTTTTTCCTTTTCTCCTTTCCTGTCCCTTCTTGGATGCTCAAATGCAAAAGGGGAAATATTTCTCAATGCCTCATTGCCTTGTGATCAAATGCCACTTTTGATAGTAGCTTGTTTTGCTAGCAATCTGCCCGTAAAAATGCAGCTTAAGGCAGCACATGCGACCCTCACAAGTTTTATTTTCAGCCACAATGGCCTCCTGCAGCCCTCTGCCAGTGAAAACAGCTTGAGGAAGCCACACACGCCCTCCCCATCTCTGTTTTTGCTGGCAGAGGCACTGCTGGCTGTACGGTCACTGTTTCCAGGGCAGCCCCTTAGATCGGCCAGATCTAAGCACGCTGTGGGCTGAATCCGGCCCGGGTCCTTGAGTTTGACACCCCTGACTTAGTGCTTAATATTTTTATAACCATTAATTGTTTTCTGATTATGATTTGAGATCTTAATTTTAACCTCTAAAGCCAGAAGTGAAATAGGGCCTGATTATCTAAGGATAAATATGTATAGAACTGAAAACTTAATTGGTGTCTTTGCCATTCTCTTGAATACTGAAGTTATTATTTAATCTGCATATCAGGAATGTTGTAATTTGTGTTAAGCAACCTTACCATTTTGCAAGAAAGAGACAATTGATGCTAAATTTATGTTGCCTTACTGAATCATATATTAACAATTCTGTTGTTTAACATTCAAATGAAATCCCTAATTTGGATACCTTGGAATAACTCCAGAATCATTCCTAATTTATGTTTGAGAGAAGAAATCCAAATAGTTCTGTTTCTTTCCTTGTTTTGTAAGAAATTCTAAAACCCATAGGACATAATGAAACTTCAGAGTTTGCAAACACTGTAGATGTTTACATCAGGTTCTTGTGTAATTCATTTGGCTTGCTTATTTTGTCTAGCTAAGATTAATTGTTAAACAATCCAGCCAAAACATACTGTATTAGTACACACAGTCCTCAGTTTGCGCAATTTGCTAGTTTACTAAATGGAAACAAATTGAAATTAATTAAACCAAGCTGACCTGATAAAACTGTATCCTTACACAACCTTTCAGTTGCCCATTTTTAATTTAGTGCTTAAATTTAAGCCTTGTGACAACAAGTTCCTATTAACTGTGACTGCAATATAAATTGCAAACTTGTGACTGTTGTTTTAGGAAATGTTTAATAATTTGCTGGAGGTTTTAGTGAATGTTTCTTCTGTTTAAGCTTTTAATAACATTATAGGCAAAATAGCCTATAATGTTTTTTAAGCTTTTAATAACATTATAGGCAAAATAGCACTGACTGTGGCATAAGAAGATGTAAAGGTGTAAAGAAGGATGGCAAACTAGTCCTATAAAGCAGGGTGCATGAATTTCTTTTCTTCCCATTTATTAATTTATAAAATACAAAATACAAAGTAAATAGAAAAACAGTGGGGGGGAGGGAAGTGAGGAAAGATAAGAAAAAGAAAGAAAAAGAAGTACCGTATTTTTCGGAGTATAAGACACACCAGAGTATAAAACGCACCAAGGGTTTGAAGAGGAAATTTTTTTAAAAAAAAGGTTTTGCACTCTGCAAATCTCCCCAAAATGGCCCGTTTTTTGTGAAAATGAGCCCGTTTCCCCCCCCCCAAAGGCACGAATAGCCTTTAGGAAGCTTGCAGAGTGCTCCTGGGGGGGGGGGGAAACAAGCAAAAAACGGCCTGTTTTTAGGAAAAACAGGCCCATTTTTCATAAAAAGGGGGGCATGGCTAGCCTTTAGGAAGCTTATAGAGTGCTCCTGGGGGCTGGGGGGAGTAAAATGTCTGTCCTCCCCAGCCCCCAGGAGCTCTCTAAAAGCTTCCTAGAGCTCTGCACAGCCATTTTGGTGAAGGGGCAGGGTTTTGTGAGGCAAAAAATGCTTTATTCAGTGTATAAGATGCACCCAGATTTTCAGCCTCTTTTGAGGGAAAAAGGTGTGTCTTATACTCTGAAAAATACAGTAATGACTTCCAACTCTGTTATAGTAAAATAAGGCATTAACATCAAATCACAGCTTTTTGCTTTTCCATAATAGTATGAAAAAGCCATTTCTATAAAGATCTATCAGTATAATCTGTAAAACCTAAAATCAGAGTTTCATTCTTTTCCACATTAAGCATGAAGTTCAGAAGTGGTCTCCATGTGGAAACAAAAGTACTTATGTTTTTTTTTTCCCAATCAAAGTGATCAGTTTTGCCATTTCAGCAATTCCAAGGCTGCATGGATTTCTTGAAATCTACAGGTCATTTTTGGATTACCACCATTAGTTCAGTGATCATTTAAAAGTTACAGAAATGATTGATCCGTGACTTAAAATTACAGCATTGCAGCAAGCCAAAGTCATGTGAAATCATTGCTTAACACTGCAAGGTCCTTGCTTAATGATGGCAACCGGGACTATAGGGATTGTAATTATAGATAACAGCAAACTCCAGCAACAATCGCTCAAATCTCTGTATTTGTTATAGTCCTACTGAATAAAAGGGGAATTACCCAAAGCCTTTCTGCCACCTTAATTAACTAATTAATTGCTCTTTTTGGTTCATGGATGCTGAATAACTATTTATGTGTACCAATTTGAAAATGATGGGCCTGCTTCAGTGGTGGGTTTCAAAAATTGTTCGAACCTACTCTGTGGGTGTGGCCTCCTTTGTGGGAGTGGCTTGCTGCCCATGTGACCGGATGGGAGTGGCTTGCCACCCATGTGACCGGATATGAAGATGCTGACGATGCTTGTCAGCACCACCTTAAA